CCCAATTAAACTGAAAGGCTTTAATAAATCTTATAATTATCATGATAAATGGAGATGGATGGTAAACGGTTCAAAATTCCTTTGTCCAGAAGAATGGGATACACATTAAATATTCCGTTTTTAGAGAGAACAACAATCTATGTAATTGATATCTCGAGGCTGTGCAATCAAAACGATCTAGTGGATGAATTCATTGGCGCCCGAAGGGGGCAATATCGTTTGAGAAAAAAAGCACACGAATTTTATTTCATCATTTTGAAGTACTAATTCAAACTCCCAAACTGAAGTTCCCAGAAAATCTGTCGTTTAATGCTTTTTGAAGAGTGAGGACACAAATTCTCTTCACAAGAGATGGCTATAACACAAGATTGATCTTGTTTTACTGTGTTCGATACATCAATGGGGTACTTTATATGTCATCAATTGTATTTCCGTATCTGATCATTGTTATCTGTATCTGATTATTATTTAAAAAAAAACTCATCGCCCATGGAATGTCAAATTTCAAGCAATGACAGCTCTGTCTAATAGATGAGCATTACCTGACAAAAAATCAGATTACTACAAGACCAATACATCGAAAATGCCGCAGTTTTTTATTACAGCCGTAGAAAAATGTTAGTGCATAACTTGCACAGAACGCTAATTTTCTACTCGAATGATTTTTTTATCTCTTGGAGCGCACGAAAGGGAATCCCTATGATGTTCAAAGAACATCGTGCGTTCCTAGGGAGGATAGGGACAGGAGGTAGGTATTGGAATTTTTTGAACCCCATATGTGGGAACAGTATTCTAGAACAGGCCGTATCTGCGCTTTGTAGATCATGAGAAGCTGTTGAGGTGTAAAGTAGCTTTTCGCACGGCACAAGAATCCGAGTTTTTGTGAAGCAGCTTTTGCGATGGATCTGACATGATTATCCCATGAAAGAGTGTTGCTGATGGATATACCGAGCATAGATATGGTGGGCTTGGTGGGGATGGTGGAGCCCGAGGTGGAGCCAGATATCACAATATCGGGCATACTGAGTTCCGCCTTTCTAGAGAAAATGCAGGCTTGAGTTTAGGTGGCGTTGAATTCAACTAGGTTGTTGGATCCCCAGGCTGTGATTTCAGCAAGATCTTCATTGACAGCATTGACCTGCCTGCGCCGTGAGTTCTTATTTTCCTGGGAAGAAATGGGAATTCTGGAAGAGAACGCAGTAGGAAATCACTATCATTCCGTGCTTGTTAAACAATATACTATTTCTTTATCCCTTCATTGAAAGAGCGGAGACATACAGGGTGATCCAACTAAAATTTTCACACCCCGACCATATGGCTTTAAAATGAAAATATGGAAATACGCTCGAAACTATCGATTTCGGATAAGAGAATTATGAACGTCTGGGAAGCAAAACCCCTGGATTTTGAATAAGGATTAAGGGGTGTTGCGATACCTCATTTTGAAGATTGCATCGAGTACTATCCAATTAATTTTCATCAATAGAAATGAGAGATAAAATTGTGGAGAAGACCAATGTGGAATATACCTCGAAAATATTATTCTCATCAGAGTAGGATTCGAAAAATTTATATTTAAATACTGTCTGTAGGTTAATCGAATCGTTTCTATAAAATAAAAATATGAGTATATGTGTAATAGGAAAAATCAGATGATTTGCCTCAAAATGCGTTCAAAAAAGGTTCCTACAGAGAAGAAATATAGATATTATTATTATATTATTGAAAAAAAAATCGAATTTTTACTTATGGTTGGACGTTTCGGGAACTAATCTGCTCCCGTTTCCAACATAAACATGCAAAATCGTTTATCTTAGAAATCAGTGACTTACATCATGTTTCCATTTATAGATCGTGAATCTACCATATTCATATTCAGTTTTTAGTAGTGAATACTTGTTATAAAACAATTATATTGATAGTAATAACCACTAAAGATATCGAAAAAACATTATAAAAACGAAGTTACAGCTCCAATTCCAAAATTGCAGTTTAAAAACGAACACACACACACATGACCTATAAAAAATTACATGACAGTAAAAACACAATATGGAAAATAGGTACAGCTCCAATATTATGTACAATAAAAACAACACACAAATACGTCATTATTAAAATTATCTTAAAAAATATATATTCTAACTAACGTTCTGAATGGTATCCAATGAATGTTTTTTGAAAATAATTAATGACGGAGTAGATATTATGCCACTATGGAATATGTTGTCCATATTCAGTGAAACTGAATAAAAATAACTATGAAACCTTCCATCAACTTCTGGACTGTCGGTAAATTGGGCTGGATCCTCAATTTTCAACCCCAGAAACCCAGTTAGGAATATTTTAGAGACACCCTGTGAAATATTTTCCGACTTATATATTCAATACGTCCATGACAATGAATTGTCCATGAAATTCTTATCATCTTAGATGGTATTCTTGAGGTTGCTCCTTTAGGAAAAAGTATGCGTACACCCATGATGTAATTCTCAAGCTGTTGCCGCGTCGTATTAACACGAGCTCTTTCTCGAACAATATTGGCATCTGAATATTAAACTCAAAAATTACACTGTACGTTCGCAAATAATCTAGAATTAGGCCGAGTTTACAGTATAGCATCTCGCAGATTGCAAATAAGTCTGGCCCGCAGCTATCGCCAGACGATAACTATCCGTAATTTACTCTATTATCGTTTTTTTCGAGCATTTCCTTTATTTATTGTGGTCGATTATTAGAACCTTATGTGGCCGTAAAGATAAATTATTATTCACGTTCGACGTTTTCTACGATCATGCCTTGACGTCCCTTGGGCGAAAAATTCAAAACAGGGGCGTATATGTACACCTTTCCACTGGCCAGAATCGAATACATCATCATAGACAGTTATGCAGTGATATAATTTCATCTCAATATTATTCACAGTATAAAATAAATTACACCGCAGCTCATATCAACTAACACCATTGGCGGTCCCCTGAGGTCCTCATTGTTCCAGTGAGAATCCAACACTTACATTTTGAGCACCATCGTACGGTCTCATATTTATTATGTCCTCTTCTTCAGTCATGCTGGGCAAATTATTCCAAGAAAATGGTTGTGTAATTGACCCAAAGAAAAAAAGCGTATTGTGAAGCTTGTTGGTTATTCAATATAACTAATAGTTCATGGAGTACTTCCTGAGATTAAAGATCAAATTGAATCCTGCAAAAACACAATTGGTCGCACTCTGAAGGGAGCGGAGGCCTCCCAGAACCAGAATAGTCCTGGATGGTCATGAATTAGAGTGGTCTTCACAAGTTAAATACTTAGGTGTGTGCATTGACAAAAAGCTCACCTGGGCCCAGCACATTGAACAGCAAGTTTCTAAAGCTAAACGAGCCATTGGAGCCCTGTATCCATTTCTAAACAGGCGAAGTAAATTGGGTTTGAGACAAAAATTGAATATTTATATCATGGCTATCAGGCCAATTTTACTGTATACCTCAGTAGTCTGGGGCCACACAGCTAAATCTCATGTCACCAGATCACAAACATTACAAAACAAAGTCGCGAGAATGGTGACAGGATCTCCTTGGTATGTTCGGAATAACCAGATCGCCAGGGATCTGAAACTCCCTTCAATCGTGTCAGTCATTAAAGAACGAAACATCAAGACTTTCGAAAAAGCTGAGGTTCATGAGAATCAGTTCCTTCGAAATGCACGTGAATATGACCCAGGTGATCAATCAAAGTTCAAAAGACCGAGATTGTCCATAAACTAGAGAAAATATTGACATTATGACCAAATTTACTATTCTCAAGTTTTTGATATTTATTTTTTCCGTTCGATCTCTTTCAATTCTTAGAATGTATTTCTGAAACTTATTAGGGGCAGAAGGGCTGTTCGCATCAAACTTCAATACCGTTTTTATTTTGTTCTATAATAGATATCAGGATAAGAGGGACTCTTCCCTGGTCTGAATAAAATAAAAGAAAGATCCAATATACAGTCAATATATACACTGGAGTATATATCTAGTGCCAATTTGATCAGAATGTACATTTCTGCATTCCAAATTGTGTTATTCTACACCAAAGTGGTGTAGTATACGATCATAATATGGTGATTCTTTTGAAGCTGCATTGTATTATTCGTATTTGAAGGAAACTGTTTTTGATTTTTATTTCATGCTATAATAATAGGCGGATATTTTTCGAATATTCTTCTGGTGTGAAAAGACACTTATTGAGTGTTATCACGCTGAGGAGCGGCGCTTTCTTGTCTCCATCTTGGTGTTGATTAACACGACTCTGATACACTCACAAATGCAGTGTATGGAAAATGATCCTTATGGAAAATGATCCACTGAAGATCTTTTTCCTTGCATGCTAGTTGCTACTATTTTAAAGCTATTGATCGATAATGAATGGTTTCGACACAAAGAAATACTAAAATTGAAAAATCTTGATTTTGAACACCCTATATCTCTGTAATCATTCCTGCTAGACCCCAACTGTGATGCATTCATGAAATCAGCTCTTCAGGAAGAATCTAAAAAAGCAATAAAATACAGGGTGTTTCATTTGAAATATCAAAGTTGCTAGTTATTTCTCATAGAAGTGGCAACACTGTATCGATGAAACTATTTTAGACGGATAGAGAATTATCAAAGAATCCTAATTTTCAGAATGTTCTGTTCTATCGTTCTCCGGATACTTCTAAGTGGCCATTCACCGTGGATCACCCTGTATATGGTGTTTCTTTTGGACGTATATTCCGAAGCATCTCTAAATTACAACATCCGTATAATTATTCACTATGAAGGTGTGAATTGATACCATTATACAGGCTATTATCAAGTTCCTAATGAAACTGATATACCATTGCTAATCAAGTGTTGATCAATGGGAGTTGGCTCCACTCGAGTGGAATTTTCCCCAAAAACTTTCCTACTGTGTATTCTAAGAAGAAAATCCTCTTTGTCCGTTGTCACCAACCCCGTTTTTTATTGTTCCAGGGCACCCTTCTGGCGAACATGTGACGCGCCGCGATGCCCACTCTGTCCGCGGCACCTGAGCAGAGTCCCTCCGGTCCCCCAAACCGGAACCCGCCACTCGCCATGAGCCCCGAGCAGGAGGCCAGCCCGCCCCCGGCCACCCCGGGGGCATCACCGCCGCCCCAGCCGCCTTCGCGACTGCCCTCGCCACTCACAACCGCCCACCACACCTCCGACGTAGAACAATTCGCCGGCAAGATCGTCTACAACCCCGACGGATCCGCCTACATCATCGAGGACTCTGAGAGCGAGGGTGACTCACTGGGCGGGTTGAATCCGCCCGAGATAGTGCCGCCCCTGCAGGCTGTGTACGTGTCACGGTTGCTGAGGCAGCCAGCCCGGCCTACCGAGCTGCCCGCGGTGCACAGCTACCGCGTGGTGGCGCTGAGAGACGCGAGGCCGCCCAGACCAGCTTCCGTGCCCGTCAAGCCTATCCTCATGTGCTTCGTGTGCAAGCTGAGCTTCGGATTCGCGCGCAGCTTCGCCAGTCACGCTCAAAGCGAGCACGGGCTCACTATCGGCGAGCACGAGAAGGAAGTGCTGGCTGCCGATTGCTCGGCCATCTTGCAGTGTGTCGGGGCCGATAAACGACCGATGGTCTCGCTACTAGAGCCTCTGGGCTCGACGCAACACGACAACCACAACTCCAATCAAATAGTTCCTCTTAATTCTGTACAAAACCGCAACGAAGGTCTCTCGCCTGTGTCCGACACTCCGCCATGTTCCTCTGCCCGGAATACTCCTGGGAAATCGCCGTCACCGCCCTTCGTAGCGCCACCCGCCTTCATGACCGGTACTACGATAGGGGTGTGTCCGGACCATCTGCAAGGAAGGCCCTCTGGGGTGGAATGTGCTCGCTGCGAGATGATACTCGCTTCGGGCAGGCTGGGACCTGCTGGACTGGCGAACGTGCACAGCAGGAATTCCTGCAAGACCTTGAAGTGTCCCAAGTGCAACTGGCACTACAAGTACCAGGAAACTTTGGAAATTCATATGAAGGAGAAGCACCCGGAAGCAGAGACCAGCTGCATTTACTGTATAGCGGGCCAACCCCATCCTCGGTTAGCGAGGGGGGAGACCTACACTTGCGGGTACAAACCTTACCGTTGCGAGGTTTGTAACTACTCAACGACAACCAAAGGGAATCTCAGTATACACATGCAATCCGACAAACACCTGAATAATATGCAAGAGCTGCAAAACGGTGGTGCGCCGAACACCGAGAGCCGGCAATCTTCTCCTAAAGCTCCTCCACTACACCACTCTCCAGTCAGCAGCGGGCACAAGCCTAAGCCCAGCTTCAGATGCGATGTCTGCAACTACGAGACGAACGTCGCTAGGAATCTCAGGATACACATGACCTCGGAGAAGCACACGCATAACATGCTAGTGCTGCAACAAAACGTGAAACACATGCAAACGCTATCAGCTCTGCACCACCAACATCCCCAACAACACATGGACAACCTCTACGGGATCTACCCCGGTCTGGGAGACAAACCCGAGGCTGCGCTTGCTGATATGGCGTACAACCAAGCTTTGCTCATCCAGATGATGACGGGAGGTCAGCTGCCGAACCACGCAGGCCCAGCAGACATGTCAGCGCACTCCGACCTCGGTTTGAACCCAGACACGATGGAACCGCCTCCGGAACCTGCGGACCCGGACCCAGAAAAGGTCTACCAGTGCTGCGTGTGCAATATATTCCAAACGGACGGCTTAGAAGACCTGGGAAGACATCTGGCGCACGACCGAACGAGACTGAGGGAGCAGGAGATACTCGCCGTGGTGGCAGGCCATTACGTCTGCAAGCTCTGCACCTACAAGACAAACCTCAAAGCCAACTTCCAATTGCACTGTAAGACTGATAAACACCTGCAGAGGCTGCAGCACGTCAACCACGTCAAAGAAGGCGGTCCCAGGAACGAGTGGAAACTGAAGTATGCTTCGGCGCCTGGAGGCGTTCAAATCCGCTGCAATGCTTGTGACTACTATACCAATTCCGCCCACAAGCTGCAGCTGCATGCTGCTGCGGGTCGACACGATGCGGGGGTGGCGCTGATGAAGCACTTGGCTGAGAGATGCTCGTCTTTGAGTCCGAGTCAAGCTAGAGTGTATCATTGTTCGTTGTGCGGGTTTTCGGCGACCAATAGGCTGCCGCTGCTGCAACACGTGAGGTCGCTGAAGCATCTGCACATGGAGCAGCTGCATCAGCTTCAGAGGCGGGCTGAGGGGAAGGAGTCCAATCCTGAGATCGGGGAGGTTTTCCACGTGGTTCCTGGGCCGATGGATCAGCATCAGAGTCAGCAACAACAAACACCTGGTAAGTGATTTTTTGACGATGAAATTCTATGGTGTTTTGAAGAGGGGTGTCAGACCATGAATAATTTCCGAGATTAACTGCGCAATTAGTGGCATATGATTTCATATTCATAGAATTTGAAGCGAACTTTAGTATTGCGTAACTCGTTTACTACAAAAATTGTTGTTGAATTCAGTGCTTGCACTACTGTAGACTGATTTAAGATCACAGCAAGTGATGTATGAAGGTTTCAAAATCAGATTTGAAGTCACTCATTGCAATAAGTCTGTCAGTAAATCACATATAGTTGTCAGAGGTCAAAGTAATTCTCGAGATCACAGAAACTATCTGGAACTCAACTTTCATAATTATCTGTTATTGCTCTCCTAATATGTGGGGAGATTTTGTAGTTGCTTTATTGGGCATCTGATATTCACTGAATGATATCTTCTTCATACAGGTAGTTCATAAAGTGGTTCAGAATCCATCACTATAAGCTGTAGGTCGCGCTCTTCCTAACCCTGCACATGTTTCGACTTTTGGGCAGTTGGTTTCCATCATGTTCGAAGTAGCGACAAACACATTTCAAAAATTTTCGGAATACTGTTGATTCATGCACTAAAGGAGATTCAGTTGAGGAAATGTGACTATATTACTTTACTTGTATTCTGTAGCCAGATACAAATAGACATGGTATGTCTATGCTTATGCTAGCCCTCTGTCTCTCTTGATATTATTATATCAATGCGATTCAAATAATTTTTCAATATGCTAGGTGATTTATTCAATAATCTTTCATTGTTTTTCCTATTTACTAAAATAATGGACCTATTGTCACTATGAGAGCACTCCTATTCAATTCTGATCAAAATCTAGTAGCCATAACCATGACAGCATTATGAGAAAAACCTACTGGATTCAAGTGACATTCCTGCGATCTAGCATATTAACAGTGAATTCGGGTTAATCATATCAGAGGTGGCGATATATGTCCTTATTGACCAGTGGTTCATAAAATAACGCAAACTACCTCGGTAGTAAAAGCACACTTCACGCCTTGAAAATGAGTAAATAATGGTAGTTCTAGAGCTAGTGGAGGAATGAAATCGGTATCATTCTAGTAGCCTATAATCGCCATCAATAGGTCATCGTTCAACTGAAATTATGAATTCCTTCTGTCTCTCAGTCCAGAAGAATATTCTGAGGTACTCATTTTGAGATGTGTCACTCTTAACTTTCGCTCCATAAATTCTGAATCGGCAATCAAAATAAGATAAAAATATTTATGTTCCAAATAATATTAATATTGAACGCAGAGGACATCAGTTTTGAATGTCTTTGATATCGTTATCTTTCATTGGTTGTAATAACTTCATTTCATTGTATTTCGAATTAGACTTGCTATGCTATAATATTTAATATTTCTGAACGTTTTATATTTCAGAGATAATTCAGGAATTGAAAAGTTTTGGAAATTCTTTCTTGAAAAAACAGGTTATAAACATTACTAATCAAGTGAGCTTGTTTTAACTTCTCAACATCTTTAGCCACATCTAATTCATTTTATCAATGATAACGCTACCTTCGATTCTTCAGTGAAAAGCTTATTCTGATGAAGCTTTTCAATACGAATAATCCGTTTCCATATCCTAGAATCGTTCGAGTACTTTTTAATTATAATACTAATATCTATTCAGATTTTCACAGTGCGAAATTTTCCATTTCCTCATACAAAATTTCCACTCGCTAGACAGTATCCAAAACTGACAATACTCAATGCGTTTCCTGAATCGAAAAAACACGCAGATGTTTGGCAACACCAATCCCAACAAAAGCAAATTCCCAAACAGTAATTAGGCCCTATCCCACAACAGGTTGGCTGGCTTTCTTTCCGTCTCCGTCTTTTGTTCTATCTAACAATGCCCAAAATTAATACCCGAAAACTGTATCGTGATAACACGTTTTTTTGTGTGCGTATAGATTCGGGGTGTAAATAATTATTACTCTACCTTTCGTGATCCGGACTGACACCCCTGGCTTGCCTGCAAGTGCCTCGCCATATGCCCGATACGAATAATCGTACGAAAATACTGAACCCATGTAATTAGGAGTATTTTTCAATCGAAACACAACCCCACGTTACGGGTGCGGCAAGCATCCTCAGGCGCGCGTACACAATAGCGTTCCAACAATTGTTCTTATTGTCGCGAAGGCCCGCTGCTTTTAAGACACCGTTAATCCCTGTCATTATCACAACAATACCCTACTATACCTTCGTGAATGTAAGAGCGTCCTTTTATTCTCCCACAGAGCGCAGAGATAGCATCAGCTCCGAACTCAGCCAGATCGAGGCTAACAGAGATCAAATCAAGAACGAACCGCGAGAAGAATCCGAAGACGCCAACAACAGCAGCAACGAAGGCGGCAACCACCAGCACATGTGCCCTTTTTGCGACTACAGCAGCGACTCAGAAATGCGTATCCAAGCGCACATTCTAGCTCAGCACAGCAACAACAACGCCTCCATGTCAGAGCCGGTCCTGCACTGCCCTTTGTGCCAGGACTGCTTCAAGGATCGTACGACGTTAGAGCGTCACGTGATGCAAATACACTCGGTGAACAGCGAGGGCCTGCAAAGGCTGCTCATGCTGGTCGACCAGAGCCACTGGTTGAACCAGGGCTCGAGGACATCGACGCCTAACCACACTCACGCATCGCCCAACCAGATGGTATCGCCGACCTCAGTGTCTTCCAAGGAGTCCAACAAATTCGAGAAGAGCGACCTCAGTCACGATCCTGAACCGGATCTGATGTCGCCCAACAGTGACGATAACATAGAATCGGAGTCGGAACGTTGCGGGACCTGCTTCAAAGCCTTTCGTAACATTGACGAGCTCTGCTATCACCAGAACGAGACTGGCCATTTGGAAATCAAGCAAACTCCAACTGGTCCAGGCTACGCGTGCTGGAAAAAAGGTTGCAACCAGTTTTTTCCGACAGCGCACACTTTGCAGATGCACTTCAAAGAAGTGCACGCTAGAAACTCGGTTTCCAACATGTCTGTGTCCGAGAAGCACGTGTACAAGTACAGATGCAACCAGTGCTCGCTGGCTTTCAAGACGCTCGAGAAGCTGCAGCTGCACTCGCAGTATCACATGATTAGAGATGCTACAAAGTGCGTGTTGTGTGGTCGGAGTTTCAGATCCTTGGTCGCTTTGCATAAACACGTAGAGAGCGTGCATTCGGAATTGACGGACGAAGAACTAGTCACGTACAAGCAGAGCCTGATGAACAATCCCCTGTTGTTGGCGGGTTTGCAAGGACAGGTGCTCGATAGTTCGACGAACGACATTTTGAAGAAGGAATCGCTACGCAGCGAAGATGATTCTGCTGAGGGTGACGACAGCAAGGAGCTAAACACTAGTCAATCATTAGACGATAGCAATCAAAACGACGGCGACAATTCCGATGATAGTATCATTTACAAGGACCAACAATTCTTGGAAGACTACCTGAACAGTCAGGCCATCGCCGAAGACAGTTACAACGATCCGAATAGGAAGTACAAGTGCCACCGGTGTAAGGTAGCTTTCACTAGACAAAGCTATCTGACCGCTCACAATAAAACTCTTTTACACAGGAAGGGTGAAAAACTGAGCTACCCCATGGAGAAATACCTGGACCCGAACAGGCCGTACAAATGTGACGTGTGCAAAGAAAGTTTCACACAGAAAAACATACTGCTCGTTCATTACAACTCGGTCAGTCATTTGCATAAACTGAAAAGAGCCATGCAAGAACAACAGAACAATAACAATAACAGTCCGGTGTCGCCTATAATGAGCGGTACGCAACCTCAAAACTTAACGCTAACCCCTAAAAGTACGTCTTCAGAAGAAGACGAGAAAAAGAGATACCGGTGCAATATCTGTAAAGTTGCGTACACGCAAGGCAGTACCCTCGACATTCACATGCGGAGCGTCCTTCACCAAACTAGGGCGAGCAAACTGCAAGATTTGGCATTGGCCGGCCAAATAGACTTGACCAAACCCCTAATTGAACAACCCGAAGCCGTGCAGTCTCCGAAACAAGCGAGTCCGGCGCCAGGTAGTGGGGACAAACAACCCTCTCCCACCCCACCGTCGCCGGGTCTGCCAGGTAGCCAAGGGATGAGTTGCCCCAAGTGCGGTGCACAGTTCACTTCGCAAGACCAGTTGAGCGCCCATCAGCAGCTGTACTGCACGTTCGCGACGCCTATGGCGATTTTTCAAGGCGCACCGGAGCCGAATCCAGCCAAATCGCCGCCTCCCTTGGAGGACGCTAACAAACAGAAAAAGCCGCAAAGTCACATGTACAAGCACTTGCTGGAGAGTTTCGGGTTCGACCTAGTGATGCAATACAATGAGAGCCATCAGAGACGGCAAAGACAGCGCGAGGCAGAAGAAAAAGCGGCCAGCGAGGCCCAAAGTTCGCCGCAATCAGCTCCCGAAGAGGCAGTCGGAGAGGCAGCAGAGGGGCAGGACCCCAAAGCGGAGGAAGCGGCTGAAATCGACCTACCTGAAGTAAGTAAATCTACGTGCCAACATTGCAATAAAGAGTTCTCTAGTGTGTGGGTGTTAAAATCTCACTGTGAAGAAGTTCATAAAGATTTAGTGCCACTCGAATTCTTAGAAAAATATGCTCAACAGTTCAAAAACGAGTACGAAAAGAAAACCGTGGTGGTCACGGCAGCTACCTCGTCCACCTTGAACTCCATACCTACAACCACCACCTCGTCAGTGCCAAGTAGCCCCATCGCCGATACACCCACCACCCCGGAAAAAGAAGACGAGCCCAAAGAAACCTTGCACGCCAAGCTGAACCTGCAGTCGCCTGTTCCGGAGGCTACGGCCGCCTCAGCAGACTCGCTGCCCGCCAACATCCAGGCGATGATCGCTCAGAGCATGGCTCAGAACCCTATGGCGCTGGCGCAGCAAATGTCCGAGATGCAGGCGGCGTTGAACGTGATGCAGCTGCAACAGCTCAATTTCAATCCGATGATGCAGATGATGGGCATGGGTCTGCCGCTGGGGCTTAATGCGCTGGCGGCGATGAACTTGCAGCCGCCGCTGGTACCGCTCATGATGCCGCCCCCGCCGTACGATCACATGGGGCAGTTCGGGCCGCAGGATCAGCAGCAGATGATGGCGAAGCAGCAGCAGGCGATGATGCAGCAGCAAGCGGTGAGTTATTTTTCGCTTTCATTGAGATTTTCTTCGCTTTTTTTAATTGAATAGTTGATGTGAGGTACGGCATATAATATATTTTGGACCAAGAGTGAGGGGCACCAAATTGCGGTAGTTTTCTAAAGGCTGAAATTTCGATATTATGTAGTATTTAGTGCGTATAGCAATAGCCACCATTCAGAAACTATGTATGTCACAACAGTTTTCTAAAATCTCAAAATTAATTCTTGAATGGTGAATTAACTGAAAAGTGATGTGGATACCGTCAGTCTCCAAAATTCTGTTACGGGTCGCGTCAGCAGTGCGTCAAAGTCATAAAAAAGCATGATTGATGGTGAAACTGTTTTCTGCAATATTAAATCAGTTATACAAGTCGTTAAAAATAGAGAAAACCTGAAAATAATTGTCAGCCTGAATTTTTATTCAACAGTCTAGCGCGCTCAACGGTGTGAGCCTTTTTTTCATAATGAAATGATTGTTCCTAAGAAAGATATATAGAAATTTCTTTAGAAAACATTGTTTTATTGGTGGAATTGATTTGTATTTTAATATTTCAAGGAAATCAATATTGTGTTAGTGAATTAGGTATCACTTTATTTTTCCTAGAAACATTTATTTCATCATTGAATATGATGGTTATGGTTAAATTGAAAAACAGCAATCGCTGAGACTTGACCTTTTCAACATTATTTGTTCTTCTCTTTTTCCACTGTTTTCTATTTTGTATGTAGAAATTATAATGATGAATAAAGCCGCTTTATCATTATCATTATAAATATAAGCCGGCACCCATGGGCGTGCTACAATGTTGAATAAAAATTCGGTCTGACTATGTTTTCATGATGTTTCCTATTATTGACAACTTGTATGACACATTCAGCATTTTGGAAAACAGTTTCACCGTCAGCCATACTTTTTTTCATGATTTTGACGCGCAGCTGACGGATCCCGTAACGATATTCTGAAAACAGTATATCCACATAATTTTTTTATTATATCATCATTCAGAAACCAATTTATAGAATATAGAAAACTGTTGCTGCAAACGTGTTTTTTCAACAACTTCGACGGCACTAATCGCTAACGAAACTGGCTGGCTGACAGCAGGCTAATTATTGCTACTGATTACACCCGAAATACTAAATAAAATCAGAATTTCAGCCTTTACAAAACTGTTGTATTTTTTTGCCACTCGCCTCCCCGTCTATTCATGTAAACATCTAATTTCTGACTAAACCAGAAGTAATTTATTCTGTTTCTCTCAGGACTCGCATATTTTTTACATTCTACAAAGTGGCAAATGTTGATTTTTGGTAGCTAAACGTACAGGGTGATCCATTTGAAAAAACTGCGCTATATCCACAACAATACTTTTGCAGCCAAAATTCAACATTGGCCACTGTGTAGAACAGAAAGAACCATAAAAGTCTTGATAGAATAGGGATTTGAATAATTTCTTGTTTTGTCAGAAATTCGGTGTGACCACACATAATATGCCCAAAACCGTATATATACCTGCACGACGATTATCGCCTTATCATACCGGAAATTGCACTGCGGACTGTTCTTTTCACTTGTTTTATTCTTATTTCTGAATAGTTTTTTACGTGTAAACAGCGTACATATATTGTATGTACGCTGGTGTAAACATGAATTATTTCATTCGACTAATTATCTATATGCATCATAATGATCTTGAGGATTTTCATTTTTTTCTCAGTTAATATTGGTCTTACAAAAAAGTTCAAATTGTCAAAAGTGAAGTATTTTTAGGGGTAGTACTAATTTCTGAATGTCTATGAATAATAAATTATTTTGCCCATGTGAACGTTTCTGTAAGACCAATATTAACTGAGATAGCTATTTAGTCTTCCATTTTCAGTGAAATATGTTTCTTCACCTAATATCAGTATCATTTCAATATACAGGGTGTGCATAAATAAGTGCAAAAAGTTCAGTTACTGATTTCTTGTCTTCTCGCTTGTCTTATTTTAATGTTTGAAGGTCATATTCAAAGGTGTGTCCTAGCTTGCTTCGTTTTTGAGATACAAGATGTCAAAGTAAGAAGTAGGCTTGGAAGTAGGTGATAATTGTTTTTCATGACCCCCCCCCCCTTTATAAGCTATGAAGGTGCCAAAATTCAGTGAGCACCTATCGGAATTAGGTGTCAAATCGGATTCTGGAAAACAAGGCTAGATACAAAATTGTTTTTCAGTTGTTCTTCCTTCGAAGTACTTTGATATATGGAACTCACAGAAACCAGTGGCGTGCAAAAATATTCACTATATGAATATCCATAACTCACTGCGACGCCATATTGGAATGATTATTACACCTAAATGACCTCAATTTCACCAATTCATGAACAACTGATTTTTTGTTGAAACATCGATACCTTTTATCTTAAAAACAGGTTTTCTAAAAATCACATCATCTGATAATTCAAAATTGTATGTATGAAAAAATTTCGATAAAGTATGATACGTGATTCAGTATATTTAAAATAAATTGTTGTTCGATTTGTTTTGTATTCTATTCTTGTTCTCATAAATCATTCCTGAGAAATTCATTCATTTAAACATAGAACAACAACATATATATTAATCTCATATACATATAAATGCATTCAGCATTGCATTTTTGTGCTGAATATAATTGGCTTCCCATTTAGTACAATAACTCATTGCTATTGCTACCAGTGATTTATGTATGAACAATAACTTCTGCAATTATTTTAACAACTAATTAACATTGACGCTAGTTTCTTGCATTTTTTTGTTGGTAAATGTTGAATTCGTGATTCTAATATTATATACCGTTATATAACAATTTTGTATTTTTATATGTTCACAATGCGATAACATTCAGTATCATCGATTACCTACAGATTGTTATAAACTAGAAGTACCTGAGCCTAGGTTTTCAACAATTTTGATTATTGTTCTTGTTCTTTCATTTTTCAATGTTTTCGAATTTTTTTGTTTTAGTTCAATATGTAGTTCTGGTTTCAGTTCATTATGAATTTTCATTAACGATAACGTACTTTTTTGTGCGAAAATACAGGGTTTTCTCCTCGGTTTTCTCATTTGATAATCAAAATTCGAGGTCAATTTACAAAATGACAACGTTTAGGAAACATTGATTCTAAATATTATCGCATCATTTATAACGAAATCATTTATTTTCAAAATAATATGGCAATATTAGGGGTCGGTTATATAGGTTCAAAATAATTCAAGTACTTGTTTGAAGGCTTGCAAAAACTATTTTATTTGAGTACAATTCAACAAAAAGTATCTAATTTCCTACCTACTGTGCTACCTGTATATTCTATAGCCTTTCATAAGTACAGGTAGAATGTTTCTATCCATTTATTCAAATTGAAACACCTGTGTTCGACTTCTGAGAATCTCCTTGTAAGGGTTTTATAAGGGTTGACACTCTGTACTGAGTTTCTGAAAATCTTCTGAAGACAATAATAAAACTAAATGATAATATAATTTGTCTTTGTCTCGAAGATAAGGTCTTCGAAGAACAAGAAGATATTTCATGTTGAAATCGGATATTTCCAAGAGGCCGAGTATATTAATGATTTAACTGATATTAGAGGTTTCAAATATTCGAATTGATATTTCATTGAATATTAATTATAATCGCCTTCTAATAGTTGAGTGGGTCATAAAAATATGATATCATATAGTACCATCAGCAGCACATTGAATTCAAAAATGATTTGGCGGCGTTGCAATTCCTTCTTTTACATTTTTAGAGAAAACCTAAAAATAAACTCATTCCATATAGTGAATCATTGAGTAGGTACTTAACAGTGACTTGATCAACTTGGCCAATCATTCCAGATGTAATTGAATGTATTTTGTCCCTAAAATACAGTACCATACATTGATTATCAACACCCTTTCGTTTCTGTAGGTATTGTTTGCATTAGTAAGCTAGGAACAATTATTTCAATCATTTCAATTGCGAATATTCGTCGACTAGGTCATATTGTGTTCAATAATATGTGCTCATTTCAAAATCACCTTGTAAAAATTCCAGTCTTCTATTATTGATTGAATTTTAACTATTGTTAATAGACATGAAACGGTTATGGACCTAGAAATCAATGCTCTAATCAGTTTGCACTCATCTAAAAATTATTTTTTCAAATACCGCGTCATGACAACAAATTACCAATTGTATGTTAATGAAGTTAAAATATTACATTAATAAATTAAAAATGTTCCATCGTGAGCCTTGCTAGTAGGCGTTTGGAATTTGTATGTAGGTGTAAATTCAATTTATCACGAATTTCTATTCTTTTGACCAAGAAATTTAGTACGTAGTTCATTTGGAAATTAAAATTAGTGATAATTGACTATGATTATTTTAAGTGCTCAGTTGACGTGATTTCCATATTAGTGAAGAATATTTTTATTTCCGACGTATACTGCTTGAAAACCAGTATTTATTTCGAAATTGATGACCAATTTTTTTATATTTCAATTTCGAGATATTTGGTTTTCAGAGGTGAGTATACATATTCTACAGGGAAAAATAAATGCGACTCGAACAAACTTGAACACTTTCGGGTGTTGTTTTCGTCAGAATACATGGTACAATTACGAATATTCCAAAAATGGCGCCAATGTTCAACATGAAAGTTCATAGAATCCTTCGTATTTCCTTCATTTTGGATGATTGTATATATGTCTTATAGTAGTCATAAAGTTCATCAATAAATGAGAACAAAGTCTATATAGGGCTGGATCAACAATCAATATAGCACAAATTATTTTATTACATTGACTTGAAGTGTCGATTTTAGGAACCAATTCGGAATTCTCAATTTTCATGTACCTTTTCCATTATTTATCTTTCATATTTTTCAATCCATGGTTCTGCTAGGTTTATATGAATTAAACAGAACCACTCATTATCCATTGATCCTATGATCCTGCTATAGAATCATAATCTATGAAGCTAGCTCGGTATCTATCAAATTATTCAAACACCAATATCAACATAATTTGTCGCTAATTGATGAGTAAAATATAAAATTGGTTGAAAAAACATACATTACGTCACACTCAATGAAAACTATATAGGTATATTCCTAGGTCCTAGGTGAATCGACTCAACTGCTACATTTTCTCGTTGGTCTGTTATCAATATACCATCTGCCAGGACTTGATTTTTACGGCAGCACTTGAATTCACTCTGTACAACAATGCGATGCCAAAGCAGCTATTCCATTTTCAGTCTATAGCCGTCAATTCTTTTGAACTCCAAATGAGCATCGTCGAAAAATAATTATACATTCCTGCGCTGACAATTATTACTTTCCTTCGATCCGACTCTGTTGATTATTTTAATTGCTGTTCCTAAGATGTAGCCTTGCATTGTGATAATTATCGTAATTGATTTATAGCCAATTTGTTACAATTTATTAAGGCTGCATATATTCACTGGTCGACCATTCCGAGCATATAAATCTGTGTAATAAAGACAACCGTCTGTAATGCGGAATTCACAGAACGTTCATTTATTTTCCGTAGGCTGTCAACGCTGCTGCCAATCAGAAAAGAGCTAGGACGCGAATCACCGACGAACAATTGAAAATTCTGCGCGCGCACTTCGACATCAACAACTCCCCATCCGAAGATCAAATTCACGAGATGGCCTCCCAAAGCGGTCTGCCACCAAAAGTAATCAAGCACTGGTTCCGAAACACCCTTTTCAAAGAACGACAACGCAACAAAGACAGTCCCTACAACTTCAACAATCCACCATCCACCACACTGAACCTAGAAGAGTACGAGAAAACCGGAGAAGCTAAAGTGATGCAGCTGAACAGCTCTGGCAGCAGCATCGAAGAAACCAAATCTAAAGACTCGCCAATACCAATACCTTGCCCACCAGAGGTAAAACTCGAGCCAAGGGAAGAACCAATCGAAGACCTTCCCAAGTTTCACGATGACAAACCCTTACACGAACCCATCGACGAGAAACCTAATATCTTCAACCTGCCACTCAATCTGCAACCACCGCAAAGCCCAGCTACTTCTGTAGCTAGCTCCGATAACCAGAGCGTATCACAACCGAGCACACCAAACAACCTAACGCTGACTTCGATCATTGCCTCCCAACTAGGCGACACTTTAACCACCAGCACTCCTTCAATGAACATGGGTATGAACACCCATCATGGTCTCACCAGCCCGATGCTACCACCTCCCAAACTACACCAAACCAACTACTCCAACCCCAACAACCTTCAGGGTATGCTACCACTTACTCCCAACCGGTGTATGAGTCCAAACAGGGACTACAACAGCTCTGGAAGCCAAAACTCCTCCAGCGGAAAAAGAGCCAACCGCACTAGATTCACTGACTACCAAATAAAAGTCCTACAAGAGTTTTTCGAGAATAACGCATACCCAAAAGACGACGACCTAGAGTATCTTTCGAAGCTGCTGAACCTGAGCCCGCGAGTGATCGTGGTCTGGTTTCAGAACGCTAGACAGAAAGCACGTAAAGTGTACGAGAACCAGCCAGCAACTGAACCAGCACCGGCCGACGAACCTGGCGCCAACAGGTTCCAAAGAACTCCAGGTCTGAACTACCAGTGCAAGAAGTGTCTCTTGGTGTTCCAAAGATACTACGAGCTTATTCGACATCAGAAGACCCACTGTTTCAAGGAAGAGGATGCCAAGCGATCCGCGCAAGCGCAAGCTGCTGCTGCGCAAATAGCTGCGGTGCTGAGCTCGGAGGATTCCAACTCCAGCACGGCTGTCGAGCAACAACAGCACCAAGTACCTGCTCCTCAACAACCCAATTTGCAACCAGTACCTCAAGTCAATCCCGCGCATAGTCCTATTCAACCTAACCCGCCCACTACGCCAACTCCTACCCAACAAGCAAATTTTCCTCCTACTTCCCCGGCTCCTTCTGAGACCAAGGAAAGCACTTTCCAGTGCGACAAATGCAACTTGGTTTTTCCGAGATTTGAACTGTGGAGAGAACATCAACTCGTTCATTTGATGAACCCCAATTTGTTTCCTTCTTACCCGCCTGACTCGCCTTTCGGTATCCTTCAGCAGCATGCTCAGCTTCAGCAGCTGAACGCCAACCTGGGAGATCTCACCAAGCAGCAGAATAACGTAGCAGCTTCAGCCCCGCAAAACATGCAGCATCCCTTGATCAATATGCTGAATAACGTGACGGGTCAAAAGAGGAAGATGGACGATTTTGAGGGTGAGAGTGACACTTCAGACCAGCCGAAGGACAAGAGGCTGAGGACGACGATACTGCCAGAACAGCTAGATTACCTCTACCAAAAATACCAGGTCGAAAGCAACCCTTCCAGGAAGATGTTGGAGAACATCGCTCGGGAGGTTGGTTTGAAGAAACGAGTAGTGCAAGTGTGGTTCCAGAATACTCGCGCCAGAGAAAGGAAGGGCCAGTTTCGTGCTCACGCGCAAGTGATCAACAAGCGATGCCCGTTTTGCCCGGCTCTGTTCAAAGTGAAATCTGCTTTAGAGTCCCACCTTAGTACAAAGCATGCCGATCAGTGTGCTAGGGGAGAAATAAACATCGATGCTTTGCCAGACGAAGACATCAGCATGGAATCGACGCCGAGCCTTAGTTCCGGAGGAGAAAACAAATTGGGTATCCAGAACCCAAACATGATGCCGCCACTTTTTCCTTCTCTTCATCCTGACATGGAAAACTCCATCAAGAAGTACTACGAGGAGAGTATGAAGAGATACATCAGCGAGTTGCAAGCTCATGCTTCGTCGTCCAACGGCGATAAGAGCGAGATCAAAACCGAAAAAGGGGAAAGTGGTGAGATACCTTTAGACCTCTCCAAACCAGTAGACCTATCCAGACCTGTGAAGATATCCATGGACCAGGAACGCAGCATTTGCGGCGACCCTGGACCCTTGACCGATCTCAGTGAACGATCTCTGTGCGACGAAAGAAGCGACTCGATGTCAGAAACCACGGAGTTCTACGACGATGAAAGTAATCCCACATCTCCAGCTAGCAGCACCCAGAGCAACACCCAAAGAATGAACAGTTCCGCGGGAGGCTCCAAGCGATATCGAACCCAGATGTCCTCGGTGCAAGTGAAGATAATGAAGATACTGTTCACCGACTACAAAACCCCTACAATGGCAGAATGCGAGAACCTCGGACGCGAAATTGGTCTACCCAAGAGGGTAGTCCAGGTGTGGTTCCAGAATGCCCGGGCCAAGGAAAAGAAGGGCAAACTGGTGATACCCAAGCTTGAGGGGGAAACTCCAGACGACTGTAGGTACTGCAACTTCAAGTACTCGCACAAGTACTCCATCCAGGACCACATCTTCACCAAGACCCACATAGCGAACGTCAGGGTGTACCTGGAGAGCCAGACCAAGGAAGCGCCTGCAGAGGGGGAATTTACGGTACCTCCGCTGCCTGGAGCTTCTGGAACGGTGTCGGCGGATTCGACGACCAGTCCTGCGCAGAATCACAACAACAATACGCACGTGCAGCTGCTGCAGATGGCCGGGATGCAGGTGGGGAACGTCTCGAAAGGAGACCAGGAAGAGAGTCCCGAGTCGCTGTTCCAGCAGCTGTACGCCTTGGGGAACAACGTCAACTATGGGGTGCAGAACCAGTACGTCCACCATGCGATGTTTGGAGCTAATGGTGAGTACAGATTTTTGAGCTGTTTTAAAGTAGTTTGCTGGCTTCGCTTCGAATTTTGTCGGGTTTCGTGCGGCGATTTTGAATAAACTCGGTTTCTCCTTGCTAGGAGGATATTCACTACGATATAAGGTAATCTTCCTATTGTTATCTATTAGTTTTAGGTTTATGATATGAACCTATCGTTACTCTAGGTATTGAAGGTAGACAATTGGAAATGATCATTAGAACATCTTGTTGTAAGTTTGGATAAGTCCGACATTATTATCGAATGACAATCTAGATTCATTATTATGGAATTTCAAGCAAGTCTTCCATTTGAGACAAAGTTTTGCTGTTTTCCTGAACACTGAATGATGATTTAGTCATTTCAGATGATATTTTGCTATTGAAAGAACTCAATGTTAGTTTTGCTATCAGATCTAGAACTCAAACCAATATTGTAGATATAAATACCACACTACTCAGTGCCGAATATAATAATACCAGTAATAATACATAAAACAAAATGACAAGTTTGAAATGTACCTCTGAAACAGTAAATCACGTTCGGATTGAATTCCAAAAACCGATTTTTTCGTGTCAATAAGTGAACGATGAACATTTCGGGCATGTTTGAGCACTTGTTACAATTCCTACTAGAAATTCTGTTGCAAATAAAAGTTATTTAGGTGTTTTATTCATTAATATTAATATTTGAAGCAAATTTCGAAGCGATTTGTACAAACGAAGCGGTGTTCGATAGATAATCTAAAGGCCTTCAGTTCAAGGTACCACGTGACCCCTCTTCATTTCTGAAAAAAAAGTTGATTGTGCCCACTTGACACTAGGTCACGTGACCACAACCATTTTCATGCCAAATAGTACTGAGAGGTACCTTTTTGCCTGAATTTCACCCGACCTGGCTAGCTCGTTTCGTTCAAAGGATAAAGGGGGAGGGGGGGAGAACTTTTTACGTCCTCACTGTACAGGTAAATTTCCTATTGTGTATTGCTCATTATTTTCGAACTAATTCTGTACTGAAAACAATCGCCCTGTGTATGGCAAAGAAATGAAATATTACCCGACTCCAATATTATAATTTCAATAATGTACGATCGAAATAAACAGACAACTGACTGCCAGCCATTGTCGTGGAACGTTAATTATCCAAACATAATTTATTGTCCCAGCCGAATCGATCAATATGATTGGTTATGGGCTCGTATATCCGATCGACGATAAATTCAAATGAACAAAAGACATACGCAGAGTGTTCATGGCGTGGAGAAAGTGGTGTGTCGCATGTGCGTTTTTTTTCCACCCCGCATATGGGACGTGATTATTTCCATACATAAAAAATGCCGAGCGATTCGCTCTCGGCCAACTACGATTAAGTGGATGAGTCACGGAAATTATTGAGCTTCAATACGAGCTGATTATTAGATTGCTCAAATCGCTGGCTATAGTTCATTGCTGTGATTTCATCATGTAAGTTTTTGTTATCGCTATAGTTATTTAAACAGATAGAGTGACCAGATTTTGACAATGAAAATAGAGTACAGTCAGTATTAAATATCACAAGAAGACCAAAAAGCGCCGTAGGTGATTTTTCTCATTTGTTCAAGGTCAGCTGTTTAAAATGAAAAATGGGTATTCTCCTTCTTCTGAAAACTGCCTATTTTAACCAATATCACGAGTAAAAGAACTGAAATAGAAAACATTGTATTGAAAATAGTATTTGGATAACAAGTACAAATCATTAACTTAGTCTAAAATTAAGAATGAGAATTGATTATAGTTGATATCAGATAACATTTCTTAATCACCTTCTCTAATTCTTTCGAGTTAGGACTGAGTTAATAGTCGTGTATATGAATTCACCATATTGAAAGAACCATGCAAAGAACTTCCAGATGACATCGGTTTACGAGTGATGAAACAAATGTCTTTCTTTCCTTGAAGCGGAAGCCTCGGGAAATAATCTTTGTCCCTGGGTATTACTGATCTCCTTACTATCTGGGTGATGTTATCTAGGAAAGTAGTTGTTGATAGATTTGTCAATAATGATTTTCTTATTTCTCATAGAAATTGAATATTCTTCCACATTCTCTCAAAAAAATATTTCACCTTCACCTTTGGAAACACCCCGTATGTAGATTAATCTTCTGACGTCATCCTTCCCCTCACAACATCCAAGGACATTTCTCGATCATCTCGTGCCACTGCTCATAACAATTTCCCAGTATCATATCAGAAACAAAAGGGCCTAATCCAATTACATTTCTCTGGATAATGAAAGATAAACCTAGCGAAATCTCACTAATTACGTCAGGCAGTGTATACGGCCGGAATGATAAATGGAGGCAGTCCGGCGATAATAGCAAGAAAAGTTGAGTGTTTTGGTGTTATCTAGAAACAGGGAGTCACGAAATATACAGGGCGAATGCTTTAGGTGGGACGTGCGTCATTTATTATTGACAGAACGCGTAAGGAACTCTTCACGAAAGAAACATCACTTCCACCAAGGAAAATCAGTTGGGAAATAAGGCCTTCAAGATACTTTCCCTAAGGGCTAGAATCCTTCGTGTTCTTCTAGGTTGTAGTGCTGTTTAGGGGTCTTGAATGGGCGCTTTATGAATTCATATGAGAGATACAATAGGGGGATGAAAAATTAATTCATATTTCTCATTTTCCGAGGGATAGCAATTCATGCAGCCGAGCAGGAAATTGGTATTTTAGGAAATAAATAATACGGTATTAAATTAAGTAGGTTGTTTCCTTGTTTTTTAATTATTGACTCCCTATAGTCTCGTTTGAAGGCTGTCGTTTGACACGCACATGTTTCAGTATTTTCTATATCAAGAATTTATAACTGGGAATAATGCTATTCTGAAATATCTTTTAAGAGTATGTAGAAAACAAATACCAGTGTAACTATACCGGGTGACACAGGTTATCGGGCCACCCCTGTAACTTCTGCATTCGTCAACGGATTTTTCTGGAATTCGGTACAGTTATATAAGCAACTATTTCGGATTTGATCACGTTACAATCCAATATGGCGGATTTCCGGTTTTTCTGGAAATGCCAGCAATTTTGTTTTTTCAAATAGAACACCCTGTATATTTTTACATATTCAAGTTCAACAGGTCAAAACAAGTGCAATCTTTATGTCAAATGTCATTTATTCCACAGCCTACCTAGTTGAAAAATTATTCTAACTGCCAGGAAATTCATAAACTAGTTGTTGTAGTAGATTTTTGAATGTATACAATTTGTTACTGCACCGAAAAACAAAAATGATGTGTCATTTTGTTCCTTAATGTATGTTTTAAAGAGACGGGTAGGTGGCCCATAGGGGTTCCATATGAAAAAAAAATAATTTTTGATCAAAAAGTGATGTGGCTGGATTGATTCCTGGATAAGTGACACAAAAAATAATTTTTCAGAAAAAATTATGTTCTCCTGTTATGTGTGACTCATTGTGAATAATCTTGACCACATCTCATTTATCCACGAGGTAAAATGAAAAAACAATTTTAATTTAATTTTTTTCGAAAAAATGACATTTGAAATAAAGATTGCACTTGTTTCGACCCGTTGAACTTGAATATGTAAAAATATACAGGGAGTTTCATTTGGAAAAACAAAGTTGCTGGCATTTCCAGAAATACCGGAAGTCCGCCATATTGGATTGTAATGTGATCAAATCCGAAATAATTGCTTATATCACTGTACCGAATTTCAGAAAAATCCGATGACGAAAGCAGAAGTTACAGGGGTGGCCCGATACCCTGTGTCACCCGGTATAAATCAACTGTCATTAGGTCGATATAAGGCAAAACTGTAATTCATCTGTTTCAAAATGTGATATTTCTTGAGTACTAAGTAAGTTAGTATAGGTACATATTCAAAATTGAGAAACTTCAGCAAAAGTTTATTTCACGTTTGAATACATTATAGTATACAGGGTGTCTGTAAAAGGTTGGGACATGACTCGGCTGTGGACACCTGGGATAAAAACAAGTTCCAAAGAAGGGAAGATTTGTATTTCGTGCAAGATAATTTATTCAAAATATTCTTTCTTTTCAATAGCTAAAAGCAGTTTACTTACTTACAGGTACGCACTGATGATGACTTAACATTCGAAAGCGCTCTGCTACGAATATTTTGAATGAATTATCTTGCACGAAATACAAATATTCCCTTTTTTGGTATATATTCACGTGCACACAGCCCAGCATTCCTCACTAAAAAAAAGTTGTTTTAGGCCAACTTACCTATATCCAAAATCGTCTCGTTGAGTTGGTACAAGGCGTTGACTTTTTTTTTGGAAAAAAATAATTTTGCTCATAAAAAGAGTAGGCTTGGATCGATTTTCAAAATTTTTGTCATGGCATGTTCTGTGACTGTAAGTCACGTTTTGAGATGTTTTTGATCATCATCAGTGACCTGCAAGTGTTTCAAACAACCATGTTGCCGTACCAATTTGGTGATAACTTTTCAGAGGTCAGACTGTTAACTTCCAGTTTTTTTTTCGGTAAGATATCCATTTCCTTCAGAAATATTTTTTGTCTCGAGGTTCATTTGGAAATGAATAATTTCTGATCTGAGGCATCTCATGCCTAATTCAGAAAAATAATCTGGTTGGACATGGCTTGACTGTAGACTCCTGGGATAAAAATAAGTTGATTTTTGTCAACTTACCTATATCCAAAATCGTTTCGTTGAATTGGTACAGGGCGTTAAAGTTCTCACCTTAGGTACTGAATAGTTATCGCTGAAACACTTGCAGGTCATTGATGATGATCAGAAACATCTCAAAATGTGACTTACAGTCACAGAATATGCCATGCCAAAAATTATGAAAATCGATCTCAGCCTGCTCTTTCTACGAGCAAAATCATTTTTTTTCCAAAAATACTTCAACGCCTTATACCAACTCAACGAGTCGATTTTGGATATATGTGAGTTGGCCTAATTCAACTTGTTCTTGTCCCAAGAGTCCACAGCCCAGCCAT